CTCTCCTACAGACATGATAAAATGTAAATGTATCCAACAAAGATAAAACACATTTTATATTGGTCTTTTCAGTCAAATATAATAAACAACAATAAGACCACCGAGTCACACTTTTAAAAAGAAGTATATATACATAAGAGTGAAAAAAATATGGCAGACCAGAAAGCACATGAGCTTTCTTCTTTTAAACGAAGACTTAATGTGAACCATCACTTCAACAGACTGAATGTTTGTGTCCACCCAAAATTCATATGTTGAAACCTAATTCCTCCATGTGATAATTTTGGAGGTGAGGCTTCTGATAGGTGATTAGGTCCAGAGGGTGAAGCCTTCATGAATGGGATTAATGCCCTTATAAAAGAGACCCCAGAGAGCTCCCTTGCCCCTTCCACCATGGGAGGACAAAGCTGTCCATGAACCTGCCCTCAATAGATATCAAATCTGCTGGTTCTGTGATCTTAGATTTGCCAGCTTCCAGAAGTGTGAGAAATAAATTTCAATTGTTTATAAGCCACCCAGTCAATGGTATTCTATTACAGCAGTCCAGACAGACTAAGAAATCATGCCATAGTAGACCACATTACTGAGAAAGTAGAGAATTTAAAATTATTTGATATGGAGACATTAGCAAAGATTTTTATTCATATACAGTTTTGAAACGCAATGCAGTATAATGGAAAGTATATAGGTACTGGAAACCAAGAATGGCACAGAGTAGGCACTAAAAACATTTGCTGAGAGAAAAAAAAGAGTCAAAGATGAAAGAAAAAGAGGAAAAAGTGAAATAATTAATATCTGTTTAGTGTCTATTATTTTCCAAATGCTGTGCTAGATGTTCTACATTTTCTTGGCCAGTTGAATCATAACCATCCTTTTGAGATCAAGTTCATAAAATAATCCAAGACACTGCTCTTTCTTCTTTGCATACTTCTACCACAAAATCCATATTGCATAGTTTAGTGCCCCACTATAAATAGTAATCTTGAGTTTTAAACTAGATTCTTAAGGCTAAGAAGACTGGTGGCATCTCTTCTTTCTTTCTCTAATATATATCTCATGATAATAAACCAGCATGTAGGGCACATATTAGGGCTCAACAAATATTATTTTGAATGGCTGAAGCATATATATGACAGATCACCTACAAGTTAAAATTACATTAAGTCAGGCAAAGGCCACTTTATAGACATTTTTATAATATTTTCCCAGCTGATCTACACACATATGCATACCCTTTCATTGCTGAAAAGAAAAAGGGGAGGTGGTGGTGGTAGACCGCTTTGACTTACTAAATCAACATGTTTCCTTATTCTAAAACTAAATAAAAATAGATGAAAAAATTTCCAAATCATTTTCTAACAATATAATTTGAAATGGCAAGATATCACAAAGTAAATACATACATAACGATCTAACCTCCATCTGAACCACCATTCATATACATTCCCTTTCAGTTCAAAACATTTGGACAATGGCCAAAGAGAAAAGATCTTCTCAAATGCACCCTGAGAAAAGGAATCCAGAAAATAAATTAAGATGATACAAGTCAATACTTGCTTTGCAATTCTATCATAAATTCTAGTTTTTTAAAAGTTAGGACTATGTAAGGGTCATTCACAATTTTTAAATTCTATTTCATTTGAAATACATTTGAAAATACATTTATTTTACCAATAGCTAATAAAGATGACTTAAAACTCTGTAACTTATTTTCACTTCACATGAAAGGCTACTGAGAGTGAAAAATTAAAAACAAAAAAACCAAAAACCCAGTACTTAGAAAATTATTCTATTTAAGGTTTTTAATCTAGTACACAAAATAGCTAATATTTACTAATCAAACAGAACATACAAAATACTTCAGGCAATATGATATCAATATCCTAAAGAATGATTGTTAAGGTTAAAATATAGTTATCTTTTTCCAAATGTTCTTAATAATCTATAATTAACCATTTGAGTTAAAAGAGTCTTCTAAATTAGTCACCTTATTCAATCAACCATACCCAAATGCCATTGTAGCCTTTGAAACAAAGTTTACAATTTTACTCTGGTCAAGTTATTGAATGGTACCCTCTTATTAATCTGACAGCCCGGAAAATCTGGCAATGAAGGGGCAGAAGTCTTGGGTACATTCCTGCACATTAATGAAGTCTTTCAAAGAAGAGAACAAAAACCTCAATTTCCAGACTAAAGAATGACGACAAACTCTATTAAGGAAAGTTTCATCATTAGACCTACTGCCACAGCATAAAAACGTAACATGACAATTTTTTAAAAGGCTATTAAAAACCAAAGACAGAATAGGAAATATTATATTTTAGGTAATGCTGAATTCTTAGGTCAGAAAAACTTTATTATTATAATAAAATGCAATAGTCTCCATTC